AGACTAGAGTCTCCTCTGCTGAGTATGAGCCACCCTCATTGGAGGCCAGGTGGAGGCCGGGGGAAAGAAACACAACACATGTGCATATGCTAGCTTGGGTCAGAAAGGGCATTACTCTTTGAGTCGGGAGGTTGCGTAATAGTTTGCTGGTGTGGCTGCAAATCCCAGTAATTCTGTAGTTGTTGTGGTTGAGAGTATCTCTGTCCTTGTATCACCATTGCAGAAACATGACTATTTTGGAGGGTTAAGTTCAATAACCTTGAAAGGGCTTCCTGGGTGGGTTGAGTGAGTTGTTTAAGCACCATATAAAATACATTGTAGCCCTTAAGTAAAATCAGAAAATACCTGTATTGTGGTTGCCTGTGACACCTTAATTCAGCCCCCTTGTGTGTAGGATACACTCTTTAATTACACGATCATATACTATTAGTGCACATAATGGAAAGTTTCAGAGTGGTAGCTATGTTAGTCTGAAACTTAAGAAACAATGAATGGTCCTGTAGCACCTTAGAAATTAATCAAAAAATATATATGGACAGTGTCATGGGCTTTCACGAGCAGAACCCACTTCTTCAGATGACAAACAGAGTGGCGAGTGCTTACCGAATGGGTATCTAGTCACCGTTTAATTTTATTTTTATCGTTCTGTGTTTGGCCTCATGTGGTATTGTACTGCCAAGGGCCCACCATCCAAACACGGCACTGAATGTAGACTTACCCATTTTCTGAGGAACATTTTTGTGCTGTTATTACTGTACTACGTGTGTGCTTCACAGACATTATTGCATTTGTCCTCATTTCCTCCAGCAACTTTTCCACATAAGGGAAATTGAACTCAGGTTTTCTCCCTCCTTTTTGTTTCTCCACTCCTGTTTGAAATGAACTTACTGCTGCTAAGTTAAAAATCAAATGCTATGACTACAAAGCAGTGTTATTTTGGAATAATGGACGTTATTCCAAAATAACTTTGTGAGCATCTACACAGCTAGCCCCTTATTTCAAAATAATTTTGCAATTACGGGCATCTTATTCTGGATTCCGTAACCCTCACTGTATGAGGAATAACACCTATTCTGAAATAGCTTATGGTTCATGGCAGGCCCTGACAGCCCTGAACCATTCAGCAGCTGCCAGCCCAGACCTTCCTGGCTGCAGGGGGGCCGGCGCCCCCACCTCCAAACCCCTCAATGATATTGCGCCACCATTCGGCGTCCCATTGCACCCCATTTAACTTGGCACCCTAGGCGACCTCCTAGTTCGCCTATATGGATGGGCCCCCCTGCTCCAAGAACCCTGCCAGGGGACGGAAGAGGCATGCGCCTTCCTGGTCTGATGCAGAGATCCTGGACTTCACTGAGATCTGGGGAGAGGAGGCAAACTTCCAGGATCTCTGCATCAGGCACAGGAATGCTGACATTTATGGCTGGATGGCCAACAGCCTGGCCACAAGGGACCACATGCACATCCAGGAACAGGTGCACATGAAGGTCAAGGAGCTAAGGCAGGCCTATGCCAAGGCCAAGGAGTGCAGGTCCTGCTCCGGAGTGGCACCACAGGCCTGTCCATACTACACACATCCTAGGGGGATGGGTCAGTCCCTTGCCCCTCCCTCCATTATGGACTCAGGGCTGGAAAGGCTTGTTGTCGGCTGCTCCAGTGGGGCACAGCTGGTGAGGAGGAGGAGCTTGATGAGGCCAGCACTGG